TTCTTTATGTTGAAACAATGCTGATATATTACGAGATGAATATATGAAGAATTGATAAAGAATAAAAATGAATACAATATTATTTTCCTGAAGAAATCCTTAAGCAGAGAGATTTGGCGAGATCCTGTTTCCAATGATGATACATGCTTGAGTACTTGTGGAAAGTAAGACCATATTGTATGAGAACTCTCACAGTGGAGATGAACCCGCCTTAGCTGCCCATTTCTAATTGTCCCTTTCTGTCCAGGGTAGGGTAAGAAATAATCTTGGCTCCTTCTTCCTTGGAATAGAATTTGTCTTGGACAAACTTTCCCCGGGAACAAACCGGTCAATTCCATCCCGAGGACGTAGGTAGGTCGTTGTGAGGTGATGTCACGACCAGAACATTAAAGAATTTGGGAGTTTTCTGTTCTTGAACCCTTCAAACTTATATTGCAAATGTCACGATGAACTTCACCGTGGCTTCTCTGCGTTAGGTATTTGCAGGTCAATCATTAATGTCAAATCCTATATATACAGTCCAAGACACACAAAAGCATCTATTCTAGGAGCTGATTACTATTGAGTGAAATGCATGATTTAGGACTAACAGTTCGACATGGCATAAACTAATCGGGTACAAAATGCATAATGCATGTTGGCAACACACCGAATTTTTTAAAATGTAGACATCGCATGAGGAAACAATTTTGTAAAATGCTGCATTATTACTTCTGATTGTAATACACTTACGGAGATAATCAGATTTTATCATAGGCTGGACATTCAACAAGAAAATGTCATTCGTCTTCAATGCCTTTTTACAAAATGGACATGATCTATAATTTCTATAGTCTTCTTCCTGGATGGATAGTCTTCTTCCTTCATTTACTAGCTAAGATGCTCCACGTGAAACACGATTTCAACCTTCATCAAGAAGCAGCTGAAGCAGGAACACTCTCGAGGTCGTTCTTCCATCACGCTCAGCTTAACTGACACAGTATCGGTTAATATAGCGTGCACAATAGACTGTATGTTTCCGCTTTGGGGCATTATTTGGTCAAGTGTCTGTGACGTAGTTACAGTGCTAAACATGTGCTCAACATACCCGAAGGGGCTCGTCAAACAAGTCAGCATCAGCCTTTTAACAAACTTGTCTATAAGCTGCACACACCTCCTATAGCTCCGTAAAGTTTATCCTGACGAAGTCCCTCTTTACGACATGCAGAGCAGACAATGAAACAGTCAAACCCTGTTGTGTTGAAGCTGAAGAGATGTGCCTAAATATATCGAGTTACCCGGGGTTCGAGACAACAGCAAAATGATGAATATTTATATAAGATACGCAAGGTAGAAATTGTTACTTCGAGACAATCTTAAGTTCGAAATATCAAAGCATCTCATGTGAACCTTCTATATCCTTTCTCAAAATATATCATCAGTAAACACAGATATTTTCGTCGTTTGCCTGGGAAGAATTTGTGGCCTGAATTCGAGATTCACTCCAATTATGAAGCTTGGGTTGTCAGCATAACATCTACGCTCGTTTAGCCAAACCGTGAAGCCTATAATACCTTAAATATTTTTGTAAAGACGTCGTATTATATCTGACATTCGTTGTGTAAAAGCAGGACATCCCATTTTCACGGACAATTTTGGTGTCATTACTGAGTGACATGCGAAAATACATCGAGTTAATGATAACTAAAAGACACGCAATGACCAAGCTTTTACTTCGAGACATCCGTACATTCGACGAGTCTAAAATATGCAGACGGCAATCTTTTACTTGTGACAGCCATAAGTTGGTCAAATCAAAGTAACCTATTCATAAAATGTACACTTCTATTTTGCCTTAAACGTCCCATGGAATATGTTTCCGCAGACAGTCGAGAATGGTTATTCTTTGGTGTTTCCTATTTTCTGAATATATGGCAATTTGCAACTTTGAGTGTAGGCGTCTTAACGTTGGATTCAGAACATTGGAACCAATGCTGGACTTGGAGAAAATCTGTGAATAGAAACAACGTCGCAGCTGTGATAATGGTATTGGTAATGCCAGTTCCACAAATATAACGGCCCAGAAAGCACGTGTCGATACAGATGTGGGATTGGAAATTCCCTAGAGAGAGATAGCACACTTGTTTTATACCTCTAGGATCCAGCGTCAGGTCTCCACCCAATCACTTCATGTCAGTAATAAACTGGTTCATCATGAACAGTCTGCAGCCCAATATATTAAGTGCAGTCATTATACTGATGTATAAACTTGGAAGACGAACCGTGCAGCCATTCATGGAAAACACAGAAATACGAAACGTCATCCAGCAAGTGGGTTGAAAACGCGATATCATGCAATACAAACGCTGTCTGACATATTGCTGATTGGGTCATAAAACCTTACTTTCACTCACACTTGATATTGATTTTTCGGCCCATCTGTATCTCTTGAAGAGAAATTGAGTGATAATGTTTAACCCAAAGACAAAATTTCCATTCATTTTCAATGGTGAAACAATGGTATTGTCATGATGAATTCTTGAGGAATTTCTGAATTCTTGAGGAATTTCCAACAAACCAAGAATGAAACATCTTCCCTATCTATAACATTTCCATTCCCACTGAAGGAACGCAATTATTTTACAATTCTGAACGTTAATACACATTTTGCATGGAAGGTCCAAACAAAGGAACAATTACTAGAATTGACAAAAAGAAAGAAAATGTAAATAGAAGCAATGGCGCTCTTGTGAACATGATATTAATAATATCTGTTCGACATTTAACATGACACACGCTGACACACGTTCATTTTATTCAATTTTAGCCAAACTATATATCTTCAAGGAAAAGAGACCCATGAAGATCCGGGTTAGAATTGGTCCTGAGTAACCTATGCTTGTCGTAACAAGGTGGTCAGGCTCGCTGTCTTGGTTGACACATGTCATCGTATCCCAATTGCGTAGATCGATGCTCATGATGTTGATCACTGGATCAATAATAAAGAAGTTGTCATCCATAAAGCACCATACCAGCATCATACGTTCTTGAAAAAGCATGCCCATACTTTTGAAATCATTCAAGAAAAATGAAGAATCGTATTATTAGATTATTAAACCTGCAGCGTAAGAGGTGACTAACGGGATTGAGCGATCAGGCTCGGGGATTTGGTGGACACATGTCATCGTATTGTGTAGATCGATGCTCATGCTTTTGATCACTTGATTGTCTATCCCAGACTCGATTATTAGCTGGAATATTGCAAACCAACAAACCAACCACAGCACCTTCCATTCTTCATAGTGCAAAGGCTTGACAAGCTGACATACAGTAAAATGGTTTCTGATAAATTTTGACCATTCTGATTATCACAATTACAGAAATAAACAGTCACACACACAAAAAATGCATGTACAAATACCTTCTGAGAAAGGCACTATTTTTATTTCATCCTTTCGCATTCCTCTACCCCAGCACACACAACATTCGCATGCGAAGTCAGGAGAAGAATTGTACGATGAAATATAGGAAAGTTGTTAAAATTTTCGTCACGTTTTCATACCGTCCCTGTGCATATTCGCTATTGATTCTATGTTGGTCTCTGAAGGATGAGGATTCACAGATCAGTGCTGCTGAATGGTTTTATGTCTCCTGTTCCCCATGGCCACATCTGGAATGGAAATACCAATATTTCGCCCACACTGCACAAGTAACAAACTTAAAGGTCACATGCAACCAAAAAATCAAACATAATTAAAACACAATTATCACTTATTCATGACATATAATATACATTGCTGGTTATGAAAAAACATATAAACAAAATTATAAGCGTACAATCGCAAAACAAAAGTGCAATATTGTGTACTTCGGTTTACTTCCCAAGAAACGAAGCAGCCGGGATACCGAACCCAGTCAGAGCGGGTGGGTGTGCACTCAAGTGTAACGGCTGGTTCAGTTGCAGATGCCTTCACGGCTAATTGTGTGTATATATATAGAGAGAGATGTTGGGTTTTGTAAATACATGCTCATTTTTTGTGTATAACATTTTGCAATCAACAGACATCATAACATGTCATGTGTTCAAGTATCACACCTGCCTGTCTGTGTAATTACATAATGTGACAGAGACCGAACTCGGGCCATAAATCAATGCGTTTTGTTTATTGTGTATAGCCTGATTGGTGTTAGTTCAAATCGCTTGTGGTCAGTGATAGCAGCTGTGTATTGAATATTGTCATTAGCAGACAGGCAGGCAGACACACAGGTGTCAATAAAACAAGACATTGAGTTTTGTCTGTGACAACGACATATCTATATCACAGTTAGAAATTCTGTCAACGCTAAATAGTGACATTGCTTTTAAGTATCGAACTGAGAAAGTTTCTCGGTAAGAAGAACGTGTGGTGAAATAGACAAATGAAATTATATAAACAGTTAATTTACTGTCATAACATATAAAAAGCTCGCGCCTGTGAGATATCAACAAAACATTAGAAAAATAGCTCACACCAAAGCCTTCACCGAATATTCACCCGACAACCGCTTCCAAGCTGCGCGAACCTATTTACTTGCGCACGTGCTATGAGCGCAGCCCAGCTGTTGAAACCCGTTTTCCCCAGAAAAGTCTGGGGAAATTTAGTGAAACGTTTGAACTCCGATTTCGCGCGTTTTTTTTCATCGCGTTATTTTTCAACTTTATAAGTTGAATTTGCATTTTTGACGATTTGTTTCGGTATGTCCATACCGAAAGGTATCAGAATCTGCAAAGTTGTGTTTTACGTTGCATGTGACCTTTAAGGTTAATTAATAAATCATTTGAGAGAAAGCGTGGGACGATGTTGCTATTATCTAACGTTCTAAACCAGAAGCGAAAGCCTATTGGAAAAGCTTGGCAAATTTGATCATCACAGGCCATGACACTTGCTTCAAACTGGCTCAATATATCAACCTTCTTTACGACAATAGCACCCTCTTCGTGGCAGCCTCGAGTTACGCTATCGTCTTTAAGTCGGCTAATGATGTCTCAGTGTGCTGAGCAAACTGAGACGGATCTGGATGTTGATTGGACTAAAGGAGATGATCCCGGCATGTAATATAACTGTATTATTGCTAACTGTTCATCTTCATTATTGTGAAGATCCGATGCTGCTGATGATGGGACGTGTTGCACTGTGAGTTGTCACTGTATCTAAATTAATATTGAAATGGCTATGCTTTTGAAACATGATTATATTTGTATATTTTTAATGCCGCATTCAGCAGTATTCAAGCTATAAGACGGCGTCTGTAAAAATAGAGTTTGGAGCAGACTATCCAGTGAATGACATCATGAGCATCGTCTCGGATTGGGATACGATGACATGCATCAAGTGAGCGAGCCTGACCACCCGATCTCGTTAGTCGTCCCTTAAGACAAGCATTGGTTGCTGAAGAGAAATACCTCCCGGATCTTCAAGGTCAGATGTATGTGTTTTATAAGGGTATCAGCTGATTAACGTTAAAGGTGATGATTTAGATGACTGAGAAGAGTTTTGAGTCCCATCGTTTGATATGGTAGGGATTAAAAGACGGAACTTTTGCTCTCCGGACGAACGTTCTGTCCACTTGACCATTGATGCGGTCCCGGCGAAGCTAAGAACTGTACACATGGACGTAGGTTTCTAGCACGCCTCTTGCAATCATGAATTAATACCCATGTCTAATTTGAATCATTTAAACACTATTACAACCCAAAGAAACAGGTGCGTTTTCAGCGTAACATTGAAAAAGTTGGGTTCAATTGACTTCGGTTTAAACAGTAGTTCAGTCAAACCACCGGTGTCAATCAAATGTGTCAGAAAATGGCTATGTGACAGAGATCTCGAATATCTCGGTGTAGCACCTTACCTCAGATGAAGTTCGGTTCCGTATGATTGTGGGTGTGCTCCGCTGTCTGAAGTCGGTCTCCACTTGCCACGATACGGGCAGAACACCCAGCATCTGTGCACATCCAGTAACCTGTGTCCCCTACTGTCGGTTCAGGCGAAACTTGTTTCCAGCCAAATAAAGTATTCACCGTATCTTAAGCCTTGGCGGTACTCACCTACTCCTGGAAAATTAGCTCTCCAGGACATCCGAAATATATATTTTAGCCTTTCCGGCACGACACTTGTAGCACCAAGGAATCAGGGGTCTTGGTTATGACACCTACCTTATCGGATCCTGGCATGGTCTTCGGAAATTTATCCATTTACCGTCTCAAGCCATCATATCCGAACCATCGGAAAATATGCCATCTATTGTCTGAATGTTCTACATCTGCCCTTGTTCGTTCCCTCATTCTTTCCAGAATATACTATTGTAATAGCTATGTAACACCTTTGCATATCCTTCACGTGTGTATGTGTGTTTATGTGCTTGCGTGCGTGCGTGTGTGTGTGTGTGTGTGTGTGTGTGTGTGTGTGTGTGTGTGTGTGTGTGTGTGTGTGTGTGTGTGTGTGTGTGTGTGTGTGTGTGTGTGTGTGTGTGTGTGTGCACGATTAAAGAACACACAAAAAGGACGGCTGACACTTTACTAGTTACTGTTTACGTATTACATCTTTCATATCTTTAAATACTTCTTGACCTTAGTTTACGTTCAGGAAGCGATGGCCAGATGTAAAAGGCGCACAGAATGAAACCATGGGTTCCCATGATTCATTTATCGTGATTTCAAATTCAACACGCAGCTCGTCCTAACTTCAACACTGATACTAGGGCACTCAATCACAGTTTAACCAGTAATTTAAATTACGTCAACTTTAAGTCAAAGTTGATATTTCTTCTTTGACGTTACTGGTATTTATTGATCTTTGATGACGGGAAATGTCAAACAATCAGATTAACTTCTACTTGGCAGCGTATCAGAAATGTTTCAGATCGATATAAAATGTGTAATGTTATATTGGAGATAACATATTTCCTCTCTTGACGATGTATCTGGAAGATGAAGTGGAAGGCTGTTGTAACTGATGAATGGTGGGGAAAAACAGATGTCTGGGGGATTACCTAAATCAGACACAAGAACTAGCTGACAATGCTTGACATTCACTGGAAGATGATCTCCATCAAGCCTGTTTCAGTAAAAGCCCTACGTATTCTATAGCGTCTCATTTATCCAGCGAAACTCATTCCATTGGGCGCATAATAGTGCTGAATATCCTATGAATTGATCACGTATATCCGTGTTTACAGTAAACGTTTATTTCACTTTTAATGTGATTAATTTTATTTTATTCCAGCACAAAGACATTCTGCCTACACATTTGAATCTTTCACAAAATCAACTATATTTTTATGCAGATATCTCTTTTGCAATTTGTTTGGGAGTACCAAAAGAGGATCTCAATGCTTTTTTTCCAATTTATATTTCTGATAACTAGCCATCTTCTATAGTAATGGAAAACTATTTTTCATGAATTACTTTTTAAGATCCAATATCTATAGTGGTTCCTTTATTTTTCAGTGCTCTTTTCTCATTAATTGGCATCGCTGCGTCCATACGCTGGGCAACGTCCTCCTCACACATTCCGCAACTCAACGACGTCCCAAACAGCGGATGTAGTTCTTCATCCACTGACGGTTGCCCATGGCAACACGTGATATCAGACTTAGCCAATCGTCTGCAGTTACTCGAGATGGCATTCAAAGAACAAGTGGTTGCCAGGGAAACAATAGTTAAAGAAGTCAGTAACCAGTCCGATGTGAATTCTTCGCTGGAAAAAAAATTAACATTATTTCTTCAGCGATTGTCACAACTGGATTCTCATATACACAGATTGGAGACCAGACTTGAGGAGCTGACAAACAGACTGCATTCTGATGGTAGGCAAGTTTAATGTCTTGGTTGTCATAGCAAAAGACTCAGTTAACTTTGACTTGAAATGGTAGCCCTATCGTTAAATTTATTTATAGCGAACCCTGACCCGTTAATCGTTGTATAACACTTTTTTTGTCTGTCTGGACACAACTCTGACTTTTAGAACATTGCTTCTCGTTGGTTTTATTGCTGACGTTTAGATTTAATCGTTGACATAACAACCAATGATATCAAATCTCCAAATGTCATTGTTCTTGGCGGTTACCACGAACGCATTCATATTGTAGAGAAACATTTAACACTGCATTTTGATGAAAATCAGATTGTTGTAACTGAAGAACAAGAAAAGGTTTTGAAAACAATTAACGGTAAAAAGACATGAATGGACCAATAACTATCAGTGATGACTAAAAGTTACGCAATACATACCGAATACATCAAGACAGATTTAAAGGGAATGGGGTAGAGGGTTACATTTTCGTCTGAGTACTTTTATTGTCAGCAAATTCAAACTTTATGTTGGCCACTTGTAATCAATCGATCCAAGACCTCGACGTTCTTTGACCCAAATCAACCACATTTCTGATGTGCCATCTCCGAATGATGTTTTATGTGTATCTCTAGACAACATGCAAGTTGCTCTACGTATGATGTTGTTTACCACACATGTATCTCTCGTACAACATGCATGTTGCTCTACGAATGACGTTGTTATCCACACGTTTCTCTCATACAACACAATGATGTTGTGATTCAAACATCTATCTCACGTACAACAGGCATGGTGTACTACGAATGATGTTGTGATTCACACATCTATCTCACGTACAACAGGCATGTTGCTCTACGAATGACGTTGTAATCCACACATGTATCTCTCATACAACAGGCATGTTGCTCTACGAATGACGTTGTAATCCACACATGTATCTCTCATACAACGGTCATGTTGCTCTACGAAAGACGTTTTAATCCACGCAAGTATCTCTCATACAAAACATATGTTGCTCTACGAATGACGTTGTAATCAACACAAGTATCTCTCATACAACAGACATGTTGCTCTACGAATGACGTTGTAATCCACACAAGTATCTCTCGTACAAAAGACATGTTGCTCTACGAATGACGTTGTAATCAACACAAGTATCTCTCATACAACAGACATGTTGCTCTACGAATGACGTTGTAATCCACACAAGTATCTCTCATACAACAGACATGTTGCTCTACGAATGACGTTGTAATCCACACAAGTATCTCTCATACAACAGACATGTTGCTCTACGAATGACGTTGTAATCCACACAAGTATCTCTCGTACAACAGACATGTTGCTCTACGAAAGATGTTGTAATCCACACAAGTATCTCTCATACAACAGACATGTTGATCTACGAATGACATTGTAATCAACACATGTATCTCTCATACAAAAGACATGTTGCTCTACGAATGACGTTGTAATCCACACAAGTATCTCTCATACAACAGACACGTTGCTTTACGAATGACGTTGTATACCACACGTGCATCTGTCATACAACGGTCATGTTGCTCTACGAATGACGTTGTAATCCACACATGTATCTCTCATTCAACATTATTTTACACTGAACTCAAACAAGTTTTAATATATTTGTGATAATCTAGTCGTTATACTGTCATTCGCTGACAGCTAAGTATAAATATATGTATTCTCAGTACATGACTCTTTGTCGTCACGATATGGCTGAAATATTGCTGATGCGACGTAAAAGTTTAAGTCACTGAAACAACAGACATGTTGCTCTACGAATGACGTCTTCAATGATCATGACGTCACATATCACATCTCTATCTGAACCGGTTACATTTAGTGAAGTTTCTCTGTAGGTATTATCGTTTATACTTTTTTCTCTTTTAAAATGTCAATGTTTAATATTTTGATTACCCAACACGAAGTTGGAAATTTCGGATTATCTTTTAGTCGGAATGAATGCTGTAAATCCCTCACCAAAGGCAAGGATTAACGTCATTCATTGGTTAATTTCAGTCGGGCCAGATAATCCGTAATTCCCCGCAGCTCGATGGCTATGCTCGAAGACGTTCCCATAAATAAAACTCTAGACTTGCCCATATCCGACTTTACGTCGATCTATCAAATAACGTTTGTTCTGGGAATTATAGTAGGCTTTGACTGGAACAGTGATGCCTGCCAGCGTAGAGACCACATTGACACCCACAATGTTCTGTGAAGATGGCAGTAGATAGATAGCTTAAGTCATATTTCCTCACACTCAACCCACACATAACGGTACACCATTGGGTTTGCACTTCGGATGCTTCGTATGCTGAACAGTTTTTTTCTTATGCAAGAGAGCGAACACCGTTTTCACCACTTTTTGAAGCATTCCATCAACAAGTTAAACTGACGAAACCTTTTCCATGTCCATCAGTCGATTGTAAGATTGATAAGCAAGGGTTTATGAATCACTGTCAAATAATGCCACGAGGTGTTACAAAGGTACATGTAATAGTATTCTGCGTATTCCCATCCCTGGCTGTCCGTATGAACTCCTGCAAAAACAGGAAACACTTATACTGACGGTACAATAATAATAATAATAATAATAATAATAATAATAATAATATAATACTTCTCCAAATTGTCGATTCCCTAAAGGCAAAAATAAAGGTTTGGACTGAAAGAAAGAAAAATGGGAAAAGAAAAATAAATTCATCAAACAAAATAAACTGTTTAGAAACAATGAAAAGCACTTCTACAGGCAACTGAAAGCAAAGGGTGATGGTGAACATGACAAACAGTTGTGGTCTGTACCCGGCAACTGTAACCTTGAGGCACCATGGGTCCGTGATTATGACCATGCAATGCATGAGAAGGTAACTAGGTCGTTTGTCTGTTACATCTCACCAGATTGCCTGAAAAGTGTTATAAAAAAGTCCAAATCAAATACAGCTCCAGGGCCTGATGGCATTCGAAATCGGTATTGGAAACTGTTCCCCTGTGTCCAAACACCATTACTACACTGTTTCAATACTCTTGTGGACACAGGTGATGTTCCTCCATGGTTCTGCAAAGGTCGCACAATACTTCTCCCCAAGAAAGGAGACTTGACTGATACCAAAAACTTCCGCCCTATCACATGTTTGAATACTCAGTATAAAATATTCACAGGGTGTTTGACAAACCTCGTGTCATCTTACTGCTCTTCCAATGATATGATTTACAGAGAGCAGAAGGGAGCAAGAAAGGGATGTTGGGGGTGCAAGGATCAACTTCTTGTACAGAAAATGATTTTGGAAGAGGCTAAAACATATCACCGCAACCTCTCCATGTGCTGGATTGACTACAAAAAAAGCATATGACTCTGTCCCTCACGAATGGATTCTGAAGTCTCTTCATTGCATTGACCTCCCTCAGCGACTACTTGATTTACTCAAGTCTTTAATGAGTTGCTGGTCGACTCAACTTGAGATGTACTCGCTGGGGCAGGTGCAGACTTCGGAATCTATTCCAATCAGAAGGGGAATATTTCAGGGGGATTCCTTTAGTCCTTTGCTTTTTTGTCTGTCTTTAAATCCTTTGAGCTTTCTGCTCAATAAAGAGGAGGGTTACCATCCCGGACCTCCTCAGCACAGATCCCCAACACCTCTTACTCATCTCCTTTACATGGATGATATCGAGCTCCTTGCCAAAGGAGATACCAATTTGAAAGAGCAGGTTCTCCTTGTCGAGTCCTTTTCGAATGATATTGGCATGACATTTGGACTCGACAAATGTAATACTCTTCATTTGAAACGTGGCAAGGTAACTAATGATGGATCGGTCAAGTTACAAGGGGGGAGGAGTTATTGAGCATCTTGTGGAAGATCAGGCCTACACCTATCTTGGAATGCAAGTTCGAGATAAGCTCCAGAATGCCCAGATTCAAGACAAACTTCGGGCCGAGTACAAATCTCGTTTAAAGAAAATCTGGAGCTCAGAGCTAAATGCTCGAAACAAGGTCAAAGCCACCAATACTTTTGCTGTGCCAGTCCTCTCCTATTCCTTTGGAGTAGTTGATTGGACGAAACAAGACATCCAGAGTCTTGACCGCCTGACCAGAAGGATCATGTCTGATAACAGAGCCCACCACCCTCGTTCCTCTCTTAACCGTGTATATATGCCAATCAATTCTGGAGGTCGGGGTTTGATTAATGTGGAGGCTCTTCATGACAGAATTTTATTGTGTACTTTTGCACATATTTATTTATCGAATGATCCTCTGGAGATGCATGTGAAGACTCATGATGAAAGCAAGGAATTCCACAGCTATTTTAAGCGTGCCAAGGTTGTTGGACAGAATCTGAAATTTGAGGTTGACTTTGCTGATGGCGATGTACTGCTGGACGGTACAGCGATGGGAGTAAACCAGGTGAAGTCCTTCACCAAGTCTGCCCAGAGTCGGTCTTTTGTGGAGAAGCTTTCTGAGAAGCCATTGCATCGTGTGTACATGCAGTGTGTGGAACAGAATAGCAATCCCTCCGACTCCTTCGCCTGGATGAAGTCGGCTGGTCTTAAATGTGAAACTGAGGGCTTCCTATTTGCTGCTCAGGACCAGTCACTTCCCACTCGTAATCGCCTAAATGTGATTCTTAAAGAGAATATTAACATGAAATGTCGACTTTGCAATGAATTCACAGAGACTGTCCAACACCTTGTCAGTGGATGCCCTTCCTTGGCACAAACAGCATATCTTAAACGACATGATGGCATGGCTCGCTGCTTTTACTACTGTCTCCGACATGCCTGTGGCTTTGACTCCGAGGTCCATCCATGGTACGACCCTGAACATGTCCAGGGCGTCATGGAAAATGATGCTTTCAAACTTCTGTGGAATAGGCCCATATACAGCCCTCAGAAGAATTCCAGCCAACAAACCTGATCTTGTCCTTTTGATAAAGCCAATGAATTTATATATATCATTGAATTTTCTGTCCCTTTGACAGGAATGTGATTGACAAGATCAAGGAAAAGCATGATAAATATGCGGACCTCGCCTTTGAAATGTCTCTGCTTGCATCCCAAGTACACTGTCGTCAGGCTCCCCATTGTTCTCGGTGCCCTTGAGTTTGGTACCTCCTGATCTTTGGCACAGATCAGGAGAGTGCCCGGGTTCTCCACCGGGAGTACAGCTCTTCTGACACTCTGGGTAATGCAGAAGGCTGCAGTGTTGGGGAGCCTTCATATTCTCCGGAAAGTTCTTGGTTGGTCTGACTAGGCAGCGTTTCCTGGGAGAAGTCCCATTCGCTGTCTGGGCTGCGTGTAGAGGGGCAAGGACCCTGAGCTGATGATGAGCCTTACCAGCCTGACTGTGCCAGGATCACCCGAACCCCTCTCTGCTGCATATTATCTTTAATCTGTAAAACATAATAATAATAATAACAATAATAATAATGTGTGGAACAGAATAGCAATCCCACCGACTCATTCGCCTGGATGAAATCGGCTGGTCTCAAATGTGAAACTGAGGGCTTCCTTTTTGCTGCTCAGGACCAGTCACTTCCCACTCGCAATCGGCTAAATGTGATTCTTAAAGGGAATATTAACATGAAATGTCGACTTTGCAATGAATTCACAGAGACTGCCCAACACCTTGTCAGTCGATGCCCTTCCTTGGCACAAACAGCATATCTTAAGAGACATGATAGCATGGCTCGTTGCTTTTACTACCGTCTCCGACATGCCTGTGGCTTTGACTCCGAGGTCCATCCATGGTACGACTTGAACATGTCCAGGGCGTCATGGAAAATTATGCTTTCAAACTTTTCTGGAATCGGTCCATATACAGTCTCAGAAGAATTCCTGCCAACAAACCTGGGCCCTTATTCTCGAAACGTTCGTAGCCCTAAGAATTCTTAACTTTGATCGTAGCCAATGTGTTAAGAATGGGCTTACGAAGTTCGTAAGGCTACGAACGTTTCGAGAATATGTAGCCTGATCTTTTTGATAAAGCCAATGAATTTATATATACACCTGGAACTTAATTAAGCACCCCCCCTATTTTCTGGATGATGAGAAACAAAACTTGCTGTAACTCTCTCACTATTCCGAAGATAGTGGAACCTTAGCTATTGTGAAACATACGATCTATTGGCAAATGAAAAACAAGACAATGATTCCAATACGTGTTGTTTTAATAGCGTAACCAATGTGATTTGGTCACTATTGATTCTTGATGAAAATTAGTCACTGAACAAGTATGGTCGTAGCATTGTCAATGGCTGACTATTACAAGAAATGATGCACAAGGAATGTCACATGTTAACATCTGATGGGTCTGGCATCAGTATCGGGTGTATCCCCCACGTGCTTGGATGACAGCTTGAATCCTCCTCATCATGCTACTGGTAAACCTTCTGATATGATTCTTCATGCAAAGCAGCTTCCAGCTATGCAAGATGCTGGAGAGGGGGTTCTCTCAACCTCTCACGGCGTCCAAGAAAGTCCCAGATGTGCTCCAAAGGATTCAAATCGGGGCTCATGGCTGGCCAAGGTAATGTCATGATAGCCTCATTCTGGAGATGTGCGGTCACAGCACGTGAACGATGCGGCCTGGCGTTGTCGTCGATGAATATCGGGTGTGTAGCCAACGGGTGGTTGTCAAAGTGGGGCACGACAACTGGATGGAGAATATCCCGGATGTACTGCTGACCATCAAGATTTCCTCGGACAGTCACCATTTGAAGTTTACAGTCGTGTGAAAGACAACCCAAGATCATAACCGATCCTCCACCATAAGGAACAGTAGGGTGGATATTCCTGGGCACGTAAGCAGTGTTTTTATGCCTCCACACTCTCATTCGACCATCTGTAACGTGGAGGAGGAACCTGCTCTCATCTGACCAGTGGACCCTCCTCCATGTCCTCAGGTTCCACTGGCGACGGGCCATACAACACTCCAGACGTCGTCTCTTATGGAGATCAGACAGAGCAGGACGTTTGATGACTCTTCTGGACCTCATACCAAGTGCCCTAAGGCGATTTCAGACGGTTCTGGTCAATAATTGTCTGTAGGGTAACCACAGGAACTTCAAAACCGAACTTGTGGCAAAGGGTTCTCGCCATACCAGACGTGCCAGGCTGCGATCATCACGGGACGTTGTCTTCCTGGGTTGTCCAGGCCTTGGACGATCTCTCAGATCTGTCATCTGATGTTTTCGGACAAGTCGGCTGATGACCGAGTGACCAGTTGTCGTCCAATAGCTTTGAAGGACATGCCTGTTGCATGCATGCCGACAATTTGCCACCTTAGTGCTTGAGAAAGTCTTCTCCTCGCCATTTCAGTATTCATTAATGGAGACAGTTACAAATTTGTCTGCTTTTATACCCATAAATTGCATGTTAGAGAAACTGAATTTTGGGAAATGTGTGGGTTGTATGCTTCACGTGCACAAGGGATGCGTTGTGACGAGTGCAAAGGAGCTGAAACACCTTTTTTAGACTACTAGAGATGTGTTGTAATACAGAGATATCATTCATGTTTAACGATGGTTAACAGTTGCTTTACTATCATGAAATATATCAGGGGGTTCTTAATTAAGTTCCAGGTGTATATATCATTGAATTTTCTGTCCCTTTTTGACACCAATGTGATTGGCAAGATTCAGCGAAAGCATACTAAGTAAGCGGACCTCGCCTTTGAAATGTCTCGCTGGCATCCCAAGTACACTGTCGTCAGGCTCCCATTGTTCTCGGTGCCCTTGGCGCAGATCAGGAGAGTGCCCGGGTTCTCCACCGGGAGCACAGCCCTTCTGACACTCTGGGTAATGCAGAAGGCTGCAGTGTTGGGGAGTATGCATATTCTCCGGAAAGTTCTTGGTGGGTTCGACTAGGCAGTGTTTCCTGGGAGAAGTCCCATTCTCTGTCTGGGCTGCGTGTAGAGGGGGCAAGGACCCTGAGCTGATGATGAGCCTTACCAGCCTGACTGTGCCAGGATCACCCGAACCTCTCTGCTGCATATTATCTTTAATCTGTAAAATATATTAATAATAATAGTGGATTTGTATTGAGCTCTTTCCATACTTGGATATTATGCTCAAAGCGCAGTGAGGATTGATCAGAAGAAAGTTTGGCGGAAAAGATAAGTTTTGATAGATGTTTCGAAGGAAGAACAGGTTTGACATTGGCGGACATCAAGGGGAGATTGTTTCAGGCAGTGGCTGTAGCATATGCGAACGATTTCTTCCCATAACTGGACTGACTGACTGACTGAGTTTAGTTTTACGCCGCTTTTAGCAATATTCCAGCAATATCACGGCGGGGACACCAGAAATGGCTTAACACATTGTGCCCATGTGGGGAATCGAACCTGGTCTTCGGCGTGACGAGCCAACGCTTTTAACCACTAGGCTAGGCACACACACACACACACACACACACACACACACACACACACACACACACACACACACACACACACACACACACACACACACACACACACACACACACACACACACACACACACACACACACACACACACACACACACACACACACACACACACACACACACACACACACACACACCCTAACTGAGAGTTTCACTTTTGGAACAGTTAACAGATGTTTGGATTCAGACCGAAGGGTTCTGCTGAGACAGTACAATGGAAGTAAGTCGCAGAGGTACTAGGGGCTGTTTGAGAGTAGCATTGGAATGCCAGACAAAGGAGCTTAAAGTCAAAAGAGGGATTAATACTTTATATCATCCTTGTCACAGATTCATAAAATCTGGAAATTTCAACCCCATGTTAACTATAAAATATTTTACTGAAAATGCTTTAAACAACGCTTTACTGAGGCCTTGAATGTTGTAACTTGGATCAAACAAAGTTTTAATCATCATAGAAAGCGCTTGATGTGTTTTTACCTCAAATTAAAGCCACCAAAACCTGGAGCTGCATGTATATTGCTCGATATCCTTCTTGTCATACAGTCTAGTGGAGAGTTTTGATGTCTATGAGCCATTATGCATTTTATGAAACCGATGATCAGTCTCGCTGGTCTATATATATTTCTGGGGGCAAATCAATGGAAGGGAATTGACTGTTCGATGGCTATTGGATGATATCACATAATCGATATATTTGAAGCTTAAGTGCATGTTCCTGGTCAAATTACCTTCCTTAACTTTGGACCGAGAGCGGAAGGTCGCGGGTTCGATCCCCGACTGCGTCATACCAAAAGACGTTAAAATATGGTACTTGTTGGTCCCTGCCTGGCGCTCGGCATTAATGGGTACAACAAGGACTGGTCGGCTCGGAGTCAGTATAATGTGTCTAAGTGGGGTATTCATGCTTCACTGCGGCATGGTATCTCAGTGGGCTAGCACTATAAAACCAGCTTAAGTCTGGGCTAGTAGAAGCAGCCGCACATGCACATACACACGTATGCACGTCGTCATATGAGCGAAATCTTCTCAAGCACGACGTTAAACCCAATTTAACATCACCTCACCTCCTTCACATCCTTGACTTTGCCAATCCCAGCAGGAATTCGGACTTAAGAAAATTAGCATACAGTCAAACAACGTTGTGTCGAACTTATTAAGTAAAAGCTTGTCTCGAAATATAACCTTGTCTCGAAGTGAAAGCTTCTCCTCTGCGTATGCCACATCCAGTCATCATTTTGCGGTTGTGTCGAATATCGGATAACTCGAAGTATTTGCATACTTCCCTTCAACTCCGACACGACGTTGTTTCGCCGTAATTGGTTCATATGGAGCTGTATACTTTTTACCTAAATTCCATGCCCCAGGAGACATCAGACGTCTTCACATATAGAACCCTGGTATTCGGCGTGATGACTAGTAAATGCTTTATCCACTGGGCTATGTATACCCCTCCGTCCTTTTTCCACAGTTAAATGGGTGCAGTGTGTGAACATAAATGGTTACAAGTTTACTTGTCCCGTGGATATGTCTGACTTTGACCAAGTTTCTTCTTGGCTCTTTCAGAGTCGCTGGGATTCTTAGTCATAGTGATGATAATAGTAGAAGTGATGCTGCGACTTCATCCAAAGGTTCAGAAGCTGAATCCATTCCGAAGATTTTCCAGAGATGGGACAAACTGCACTCAGAAAGTAGAGAAAGAGACTTCGTCTGTTTCCAAGGTAACTTTGTGACCATTTCATTGAAATAATAGTTATCATTCATGCACCTCTCTATCTTGCCCTATCTCACTCTCACTTTGCATGTTAGTGCACAAGTCTTTTTCATGGCTTTCATCTTTTTTGCTTGTTTTGTTTTTACTGACATCAAAACGGAATGCAAGAAAAAGTCAGAAGCAATATCTTTTGCAGCTAAATAGTAAAACATGATTTATCTTTATGGTGTAATCACTGTAGCCCTATGAATTCAGGTTTCCCAATATCCCTTTTTGGTTTCTTCAGAGACGAAAGAAGTATTATGTACCGCTCAACATATCCGCTCATAAGCTCACTATCTTCACGATCAGCATGACTGCACAAACCTCATTTGAACAGATTTGGTTGTAAAACACCCCACAGCTATCATAATCGATTCCGCAGCATATATTTAAGATGAATTAGACTTCATCAACATGAAAGATGGTTTTGGAATGATAAGCTCTGGCTTATATGTTGCCAGAGGATGTAGCTGAGCCGCCCTTCTCTGTTTGCAGATGTCGTTGTATGTGTACAGAATGTTGAAGTGGACACCGGTCAACCTATCTTTAAAACGATTTCCCCTTCAGCGTGCTAAGTACAGGAAATCGTCCCTTCCGTCTACCAGCGCCTCAACCAATGGCGATCACTCCCCTAGGCACCGTGTTGCTGTAGGTTCTTTACAGTACATCTTCGTCAGTCAAGGGTGTATTGTCCACTTATTGTCCTCGGAGAGTTAATTTCGCGAGTCGGACAAACTGGTGCTTAAAGCCTTTGCTCGTCAGGTGGATAATATATGGAGATTCGAATTTGCTTTGGTTTTTATTCGTTAATTTTCGTATGAGCATTATATTTATTTAACTGCCGAAGATGGACAGTTTTAAAGTTATTGATATCTTGTAGCATGCACCAAGGATATAGCCCGCTTCCTGTGATGCTTTTGTTTCCTACTCTACTTACTTCTGTTACATCTCTTATCGTAGTTGTGTTGAGCATTCTTTCAAAATGGTAGATAGACTCTCCCTTAACAATCTGTAGTCCTTCACTTAATTTTACAGTAATGCAACAGTAAATGTTTCTATTCATATTATGCAAGATTTATACATTATTAACTCATTAACTGACAATATGAATGATATAGTGAAAATAGTTTAGGCCTGATATCTCATTATATATGGCTAAGAGGGCAAGGACAATATTATCAATTATATTCATTCATTCATTCATTCATTCATTCATTCATTCATTCATTCATTCATTCATTCATTCATTCATTCATTCATTCATTCATTCATTCATTCATTCATTCATTCATTCATTCATCCCGTGATGATCCCAGTTAGAATTGGTCCTCAGCAACCCATCCTTGCCGTAAGAGGCGACTAACGGGATCGTGAGGTCAGGCTCGCTGACTTGGTTGACACATGTCTTCGTATCCAAATTCCGTAGATTGATGGTCATGCTGTTGATAACTGGATTGTCTGGTCCAGACTCGATTATTTACAGACCATCGCCATATAGCTGGAATATTGCTGAGTGCGGCGTAAAACAACAAACAAAGAGAACAAACATTCATCACCATCGTCATATTATGTTATTACTATTATTTTAGAAAATTACTCTTTTTGTTTCCCTCACTCGTATTCATCTTTCCAGAACGGAGTCAACTTTTCGCCCAAACACGGGCTATCCCTGAAGAACGAGCTGTGTGTGGTGTTGTTCAAACGTGAAAACAACAACATCGTTGCGACTCTGATAGAGGCCATCCTGAAACAGCTGGATGACGTGAAGCTGTCCGTCAAGCCTCACTACATGATAGAGGGGTCGGAACACCTCAAGTCCATTCCCAGAGTCAAGCTGTTTCTGGTCGTGTCCGAGATGGAGGACAAGGGAGGTCAGAGCTTCCTCCGGACACAGGACAGTGACCTGCATACATCTGCTGTTCGTTTCATGAAATCTCTGGGAGGTACGTTGAGGTTCAATTACTGAAAGATGTAGGATGAGGTTCCATATTTGGTCGACGTGAAATGTCAAATTGCGTAGAGAATTCTTGAAAAGATCAGCATGAAAAAGTATCAAAGTTTCAAATTGTTGAAAACTAACCTCTGTATTTCATTTATTTGCATGTTTAGTCAAGACAGGAGTGGACAATATCTCACCTTTGTTCAATCAGTATGCAGTATGAGAAGGAACTAACCGAAAATGAATTTTATTTATATATCTTAAAACAGATGGCATAAAAGATTGGCTCCTGTTTTAGTAGCAGAACATGCTTTCGGGGAACATCCATAATCAGGCTTCTTTGACAGTCGTACCTGTACAATTGAATTCTCATTCACAGACACCCAGTTGGTACCTTTCACAACTAATTTTGCAGCTCAAGTGGGATGCAGGATTTCTCATCATGCCTAATCCTTCGTATCTCAATGAAGATACCGCTGTGATGATGTAGGGATGCATAGACTTTCCTCCGGTACCTTTGTGCTTTAGCTAATTATAATATGTAGAGCGGTGGGTGGGCAAAGTTCATCACACCGAATTCCTGTGTTCGATTCGCCACATGGGCACAATGTGTTAATTCTATTCCATGCGTCCAACGCCGTGATATCCCTGGCCAAAACCTGTGACGTACCAAATTGAAGGATTTTACTGACGCCTTGTGTTCCGCTTAGATGGATTATGTTTGAGTCTATTTCAGCACTGCTTCATCGGTTGCTGCTTATTATAGGTATGTGCTAGATGAAGTGGAGTGATACAAAAATTAAATAAAATAAAAATAAACATTTGTTGTTTCAGCTCAAATAATTCTCATAATGGCAAACGACGAAGGTTCCAAAAAGTTGACAGCGCACAACATGTACAACACCAGTTTACGTCTCGTCCAATCACACGAGGTGTTACAAGAGTTGGCGTCCACCGGAAGAGTGTTCAGCATTTGGCGCGAGCTGACGTCACATCAACTAAGTCATCTCAGGAAAATCATACGTTCAGTATTAAATATAAAGACAAGCATACGGTGAGAGGAAACTGCCGACCGGGTGTGCTCATATTCTGAACTGCATATCGAAGTCGTGGATGGAGGAGGTCTCTGGGATACCTTACGCAGACTGGAGAGAAAGGATTGTGCATTCTGTGTCGCCGGAAGTCAAGATGTATGTCCACTGCGACAGTTTCCTATAGACGTTGGGCTGTTCTGCAGTAACGTTAGACTGCAACGGTTTGTCGATCCCCGGAATTATGATGTTCAGCTGTCCGTATATTTTTTCTGTTTCCCATTACCAGCCTGACCTGAATTTTCATTCCGACGTGAAATAATTCAAAATTCTTATCTCAATTTTCCAAACCTCTGTTATATTTTTATTAAAATTTTGTTTCGGGCAAAGCGACTCCATCTACATCATAAATCAATTTTATAAACCAAGTGATTCAAATTTTAAAAGTAAGCATCATGAGTTACACAATTACTGAAAATGTATTTATTTATCTATCTATCTATCTATCTATCTATCTATCTATCTATATCTATCTATCTATCTATCTATCTATCTATCTATCTATTATCTATCTATCTATCTATCTATCTATCTATCTATCTATCTATCTATCTATCTATCTATCTATTATTTATTTATTTATTTATTTATTTATTTATTTATTTATTTATTTATTTATTTATTTATTTATTTATTTATTTATTTATTTATTTATTTATTTATTTATTTGATTGTGTGTGTAATTTTTTAATTTATTCTTTTTTATCCGCCTGCTGTCTTGGTGGTTTAGGTTTGAGATGAGAAACACAGAAAATAATACGGATAGCCGTTATAGCTGGGCGTTCAGTCCAGATGAAAATAGATTTAACTACATTTCATGTCCATTGGAGCGTTATTGTTAGGTGCTATTGAACACAAAGCTGCATAAGAAAATTGGTCATTTTTGTAGTAGGTGCCGTGGTAATACAATGTGTGAAATCAGTAAGACACATTCCTGTGTCCCTTGCCACAAAGCGATTGACGAGTTGTGTCTGTCGTACCGTGAATTCAAGCCCAGGATTTAATAATGAAAATTACCCCTTTGGTAATCAAATTATTTAACCATACTTAAATTCGGGAATTGCACACAATGAATGGGAAAAGCTAGTCTATCGTACAGACCCTGAAATAAATGTACCCAATGTAGGCCATGCAAGTCTAGACTGTGTGGCAAGTCTAGATATTCACAGTTTCAGGAAAATGAAGAAAGTCTTTGGGCTCCTACTATTTTATTTTAATTTAAAAACATTTTTCTGTAAAATATGCCCATTTCAGAGACTGGCTGTTAGTCATGGAAAAAGCAGGGACACAATATTTGACATACCTTAATTCCACTCTCATTTCGACGGAGGAAAATGTCGCATTTTCAAAATTTTCCAATTTGATAATCTGGTGTCCCCAGCAGTGATATTGCTGCAGTATTGCTGAAGCGGCGTAAAAATAAACTTACTCACTCACTCCAATTTGAATGATACAGAGTGTGAGTCGTACGCATTTCAGACGTCAATTACCGTGTCAAAAATCTTACCTATCTCTGGAGTCCAGTGAGTCCTCTACACGTGGAATCCCCTGATTGCAAGATGGACGTTGTAAACACCGACGTCCGCCATATTCTTTCACCAAGGGACATCACTCTCAACAATAAAATTAAAAATACTAATATAGGCCCATGGGACTAAAAACGGTACACAATCCCGAATTCAGACAGATGAAATTAAATACAGGCAACCCTGGCTAGTTAGTGTTCTGAACAAATGCTGTTAGGTGGTGTTAAATACTTGGATATAAAGTCGTCTTCTGTCGAGGTCGCCTTGTGGTAAGGGACACCTGAACCATTCGGTCAGCGTATATTTCTATCTACATCATATCATAATTCATCCTAAACGCTCAAGGTATATATTGTGGTAACAATGATAGTTTTACATTACATGCAATATGTGCATATGCAATCATTTTCTTGATTCATTTTTATGTTAATTACAGGTCAGCATTGTTTGCAACTGTTGTGTTGGAACAGTTCAGAAAACGAAAATTCAGTTTTAAAGTTTAGTTATTAGTTCTCATCATCAAATTCAGAAAAAAATGCTTCATTATGTATTTTTATATACTAATATGACGCATAATCCCAAATAACATAATTATTTAAGAACTGTATAAATGACTCACAGCAAACCAAAGACCATCGTCGGTAACACACATAGAACAAATATTTACATTTGTGAGGTTATGATACTTTATGTCAACAATGCATTCATGTAAAAACTAAGGCGGAGACAGAGGTCGGGCAGTCGTCATTTGCACCGCTGCTATTTGCTGTGCAGAGTTGCGTCCCTTAGGCGTGACATAAACCGGTTATCTAATCCGGATCACCCCGATGTATTTTTTTGGGTTTGAAAGCAGATGCCTGTCCTCTTGGGGTTCATCAAAGGGGTACAAATCCATGACATGCCTGTGTCACAGGTTTTCCTCGCACATCGACCTGACACCTCTTATGAAATAGTGTTCAAAAGGGCCTAATACCAAATATCCATTCACTTCCTCACACATGATGCAATCGACACCATAATTTAATATAAACTTGCTTTTCTTGGAAAAGTTCATTTACATTTGAGTTGATTGTCTCGTGACAAAAACGTGAATATAAAACCTGGCAGGTCGTCCTCTAACTGAAATATCATTCCCGTTCTCTTGGGTTTCAACAAGACATTACTAGTCCATAACATGCCTGTATCACTTCAGGTTTGCCTATGAAATATCATTCCCGTTCTATTACATCGACCTGGTAGGTCGTCCTCTAACTCCCACATACACCTGGCAGGTGCAACTGCAACACTGTTCAAAGGGGCGTAATACCAAATGCACCCACTCCTGATGCAATCAACAAAAACATGAATATAAAGGTGGTATTCTTAGAAAATTGACAACTGGTACCGAGCCGAAGGAATAAATGTTAAAAATATTTCTACCATGACTTCAAGAAATACTGGATTGTGATTGGTTAATTAAAGTCATTCAGAGGTATTTATTCACGTTATATACCTCTGATTTTCCAACACAGTATGTTTATCTCCTAATTTGATCATTTACACATGAGCTTATGAGTATTGTCTCATCACTGTGGTAAACTTATCATTTACAAAAGTAGATGCTCTTTGAAAAATGTTTCAGAACTGATCTGATCGGAACCGAGGTAATACATGTTAAAATAGTTTTGTTCATTTACATATGAGTCGACTATTTCATGATGCAATCGATAAAACAAATGAATCTATAAGTGTTATTCTTAGAAAAGTCATAACGACCGACACGATTTAATAAATGTTTATAATAATTTGTTGATTTACATTTGAGTTGACTGTCTCATGGCCTGCGTGGACTATTGGGAGATCCATCATGATGCATACAAACCAGATTATCTGATGATGTATTTATCTACATACGAATATATTTGTACCATAACATGAAGACAACGCTATATTTGCCTACGTCACACCTTGTACAAACTACCGTATACATGCTCAATGTGTTCCTTTGTGCCAGTTCATTTTACAGTGGCTGTTTTGTTATGTAATATATGGTTGTTGATTTATTATATATGTTGGTAATTCAGTAAACTTGATCAGAGCAAGTCTTCTGTGTTGTTCTTATTGCAAGCGGAGAAGAACGGGATTCACAATATTAATGTAAGAGACATGAGTGAATGAGTTTAGTTTTACGCAGCTTTTGGAAATATTCTAGCAATATCACGGTGGGGGACACCAGAAATGGACTTCACACATTGTACCCATGTGGGGAATCGAACTCGGGTCGTCGGCGTGACGAGCGAACGCTTTAACCACTAGGCTACCCCACCGCCGGGGAGAGACATGAACTTCGGGTTGTTTCCCAGGATATACCTAACTGCACATGACGAAAAACACAACACAGGATACGCAACTACGACAGCAGTAAAATATAAGACTTTTTACAAAATACATATACATTGAATCAAATTATCAAATAGCATACGTACCATACACAATATATTTCAACCACATTTTATTGAGTATCATGTGGATACTTACTACTGATTTAGGTGTGTACAATATTTTTATAACGTTCTTCGAATATCGTTTTATTTTTCAATAAATATGAACATTTTTTGGAAAAGTTCATATTAATTTTTGCATCAGTTTTTGGCCAAACTACTAATTGGGCTAAATCAGGGTTGGCATCTCTGCAAATGACAGGAGTCGTATCAGATGGTAAGGCTCGCTGGTTGGTGCATGTCATCGTGTCCAAGTTGCGTAGGTCGATGCCCATGATATCAATCACAGGATTATCTGGTACAGAATTGATTATTTAAAGTCCGCCGTTACCTACCTGCAATAGAACTGTGTGACAGCGTGAACAACACACAATCAAATACGCAAAGCACTGCCGATACACAAAAATACGGAAGCGTAGTAGGGCCTCAAAATAATTGGTCTCACTATCTCCTTCGTAGGACATACCATCTCCTACGTAGTACTTTGTATTTTCTACGTAGGATTTTGTACCTCCTACATAGGACTTAGTATCTCTTTATTGCATACTATTACAAAATGTATTGGATATTCAACAAAAAGGTGTCACAGCTTTTGATATTTTTTATGTTTAATGAGATTGATAATTTAACGTTATCACAGGGACATCTGATTGAGATTTGCATTAGTGGTCAGATGGTTATATTTTGTTAAATGATTAGCCCAAGCGCCATACTGTCCATCACGTCATTTACCGTAAAAAGTCAAACTCATCAATATCGCTTGACCCCGCCTCTATTCTAAAGACAATCCCTGATTCGACGAGGCATACGCACAGTCAAACTTCCAATGTCATCTTGGTTCATTGTATCCCATTCTTCCTGCAGAGCAGCGCCAAGTTCCTTGTGAGTGGTCGGTGGTTTGACGGTGACGTCGGTGTCGTCCAAGGACATCCCAGACATGTCCGATAGGATGACAAGTCTGTACTGAGTGCTAGTCATGGCAAGGTGGTTATGTTCGCCAGTTTGGGGTACTCCTTAACAATACGAGCCCCGTGTGTTCGTGCCTTGTCAACCTGAAACACAAAACGACGTCCATGTCGGCGCGCATGCGCATACAGCACCACGTGTGCCTCCAGCATGTTGGTCAGCTAGTACTGCCTAGAGTTACGGTTAATAATTTGCCGTGACAAAAGGTTTAAGAGTCCCCTTTGAACCAGCAAAATAGAACACAGAGAAGTCTAAA